GCTTATGAAGATTTTTATAACAAATGGTTCGTAACCCAAATCTCGGGACGAGATTTTTATAAGGGGGGAGGGCTGTAACACCCCGGTGTTAGGCCATCATTTAGGCACTGCAAATCATGCATGTTATGCATCATCAAGCATCCTAATCATACATACCTAATCATGTAAATAATAACTGAAACCCTGCTTCGAAACATATGAAACATGCTCGCGAAACATGAATGTTGCATACACTTGTTTAGAGTTGTTTTTGCCCAAATCATGCTTGCTAAGTTAGTAAAACATGTTTGGCTATGATTGTAAATCATCTAGAATTATTTAGCATAGTTTTTGGAGCAAAGTTTGTATTTAAATTATTGCCAAATTTTGCTTTAAAAATAATTCTCCAAAATTAGGGTTTTGAGTTAAAATTGACTTTAATTTTATAATTCAAAATCTAGCAAGAATTGGACTTTGGTCATAAAAGCAAAGTTGTAGAGGATTAAATTCTAAGCAACTTTTATTTTTGAGCCATTTTCAAAAGAAGTCATTTTCTTGCTCAAAAGGGTATTTGAAAACTGCTATTTGAAATTTCCTTGAAAATAGAAAATTAAAAAAATGTTTTCTCCTTTTCGCTGGGTGCCGCCTCCTTTCTTTCTCGCCCAGCCGGGCTGCCTCGGCTCAAGCCTTGCCACTTGCACACGCCCTCGCTCCTTGCTTTACGTTTAGCCCAGCATCTCGCCTCACACCTGGTTCTGCTCACTTGTAATCGCCACCAAGGCTTGCCTTCCCATCGCCTGTGCCGCGCATCAAGCGACGTCAGCGGCCTTCATGATCAGTGATATCTGGTGGCATGCCATGCCGCCACATGACAGCCACACACGGCACCCTCGCCCTCCTCCACGCTGCCTTCTTCTTCTTCCCCCCGTTGCCTCCCCTCATTCCTCCTCCTTTTCTCTCCGATTCGAGAGTTCATGCGGAGCTCACCACCGAAGCCTTGGCTGCCTCGCCGGCGACATACCCCTTCCACGCCTCCATTCCTCGATTCCGGCCGCCAGTAGCTCTGCCCAGCCTCCTTGCCTCACTTGCGCTCGCTTGCTTGCCATTGCGTCGTCGAGGTAAGGGCGAGCTTGGCCACGCCTCCATCCTCTCCGGCGAAGCGTTGCCGCGGCGCCGTGTGTGGTTCGCCACGCCGAGCCACCTCCACCTCCCACCCGGTGCCGCTCGGCGTGGTGTGCCTGCCGCACCACCAGCCATCCGGAAGGGCTTCCAGCCACGGTAAGCACCGGCGTGGAGCTCCCCTCGCTCTCGGGTCGGCCGACCAGGGGGGCCATGAGCCCACCCGCGATGGTAGGTGAAGGCTCCGGTGGCCCGGCGGCCAGTGGGGCCGGTTGACCTGCTGGGTCCCGCCTGGCAGCCCCACTGGGTGCACTGCACCGGGTGCACCCAGCCTTTTTCGTCGGCTGGTTTTAAAATAAATTTAAGAAATGCTTTTCAGAATTTTGTTAAATGCTTTGGAAATTTCTAACTTGCTCAAATTTGCTCCAAATTTGTTGAAACAAATTTTGTTGTGTTCCTTGTCACCAGATATACATGATAAAAATGTTGAATGTCATTTTTAGATACTTTTCTGTAGAGATTTAATTAATTCTTGATATTGCTGATATCTTGTAAAATGGTTAGTAAATCCTATATGTATCAGAAAAATATGATTCCAAGTTTGTTACTCTTCTTGTGTAATGTACTTCCTAGAAAAAATATGTGTCATGCATGTACTGTAGAAAAATTATGAGGTGTAGTTCAAGTGCCTTTAATGACTGATTTTTGTTATTTTTGCTAGAGAGCAAAATTTGTATAAAACATGCATGTGATAATTTTTGTACAGTGATCATTTGTTGTGTAGAACATAGAAAAAATATTTCATCTGGTGTTTGACACTTTTCATAGTACAAAGTATTTTCATGTTCATAATCATGCCATAGCTTGTTATTTTTGTGTAGGCTAATCCACTCATCCAAATGCCATAAAAATCTGAGGGTAGACTACTTAGGGTTGTACTGTGCTATGGTAATTTTCTAAGATTTTTCTAAGCTATAAAAATAGATGTTGCTATTCAAACCTATTATTATTAACTAGGGTTAATCATATGTTGCTTTGTGTATACGTAAGAAATTAGTGAAGTTTTGGTGTATCTTTGAAGCATTTAATGAGATGTGTTGACTTAGCATATTAATAGTAGAAGAGAATACAGTAGATGACATGTGCTTGTAGTACATGTTCTTGGATGATGTTGATTACCTTGCATTCAAGCATATCCATTGTGCTCATTGCATCCGATGCACCTTTTGCATAAGCACTTACGCACATGCATTATACAGGATCGCAAACCGAGAATCTAGTCGTCATACCCGAGGAGCCCGAGGAGCAGCTCGAGGTGCAGCCGCAGGAAGTGAGTGAAGCAGACGAGAATGACGTTGAGGAACTTCCGGAGTGCCTCGATCACCGCCCGAGCTCCTTCGAGAGAGCATTTTTCTCCCCGGTTTGCGATTATTAATTAAATGCTTTACTTTAATTGATGCATTACGTTCAGGAGTTGTTTGCAGCTGTTCTTGCATTATACCTGTTTACCTTTGTTATACTATATCCTTGTTACCCGGTATCCGCAATCGAGTCAATGCTTAGTGGGCTTAGACCGGTAGAAGTCGGGTGATTTCTGTCACACCGCGAGCTATAGGTGATTACCGGATTTGCTTGGATAACTATGTAGTCATGGTATAACTAAGTGTTAAATGAAGTTGAGACCGGACGGAGACTTACGAGTTTTGGATCAGAGTGCTTTCCGTCTGTGGGTCGATTAAGAGACGACCAACTGTTGGGCCTCGGGTCATGTTGAACGCATGCCTTACATTTAGTCGGCCGAATAAAGTACCTTTCGACCGTGAAGCTGGGAGATTATTCGGGCCGAGTAGATTGTCCGCAGCGCACTGTACCGGAGCAGGTGTGGTAGGACACGGGGGCGAGATGATAAGACCAAAGTGCAGTCGGTCGGCCCCCGGGTACATGTGGTTCCTAGCAAACTCGAGATTCCTGGATCGTTGACTCGGTGACCGATACCTCACTTTAGCGGGTGAGTAAGGTTTGTGTAAGGAATAAATCACCAGCTGGTTAGAAATCAATTCGAATCACCATCGCTCCTGGATAGTGAGCACTTGACTTGAGTTACTTCATCGTAGTAATGTTGTTGGAACACTTGGACAGTTATAATGAATATGACATTATGGAAGTTGTTGATGATCATTGGTTATCATTATTTGTTTAATCACATGTTTGCTCTAGTATAGGTGCAAATGTAGTCGACAGGTTAATAATAATTAACTTGACAATAATGCTTTTGTAAAGGTTCTTGAAATGCTAAAAATGCCTCTTTTTGCAATCGAGTCACCTACCCTACTATAAAGCCCTTCATAATTCCTTGGTGTCACTTTATTTTCGCTTATGTCGGGTAAGTCTAGTGAGTACCTTCTCGTACTCGTGGTTTTATTCCCACTTGTTGCGAGATGGGCGGATGTATTACGACTCATTGTATCAACCCTTTATCCTCGATGGGTGATGCTTAGGACCATGGGCATGGTCATTCCTTACGTCTCGTCGATGCTTTTGTTGGAGATGATCATTAGCTGACACTGTATTTGAACTCCGTGTGAGTGTGTGTGGTTTTGAACAAATGACTTCCGCTACTTCTATTTGAACTCGTTTTGTAATAACTATGTTTAAACTCTGATGTATCTGAGATGCGAACTTTTATGTAATATGTGATGGTGACCGCTAAACTTATTACGATCTTGGCTGGTATGTGAGTTGGTTTGAAATCCTTCGCGATTTCACGGACTACCGGGTTATACGGGCTTAAGTTTGTTAAATCGTATGCGCTGGCGGATGATTTTCTTACTTAATTTCGTATAATTGGTCGGTTCTGTTACAACAACCTTATATATTTCACACAAAAATCTTGTATCTGCCTATCATTGACTAATATAATATCTTCTCCCAAGATGTTGTCAAAGAACTACAATCTGTGAGACTGGTTAGATGACCATTTCACATCATTGCCCAAACTTTGATCAACAAGTCTAGAGAAAGAGCATCTATCTCTACATCCCACTTAATAACAAATCCATTTGTGTAAGATTCGGTACCCAAAGAGTATGTGGTACACAAACCTTGCACTTAAATCTCTAGTGTGGACAAGTTGGGTCTAGCTGGAAGAATGCAAATCAAGTCAAAGGGGGCAATCCGACTAATAAAGGGTCAATCCTCAATTACTCTAGCCATCACATGGTCATAGCTAGTTGGATCTAGAAGATTACCGGGGCGTGCCTTTTCCTATCGCTAGCACACCATTCCCTTAGGGGTTAGAGTTTGCGGAGACGACAATCATCTTCCTTAAGACCATGGCCCCCAATTGATGCCAAAAGCTTGAGGAAATGAAAATTTTCGCCACCACCAACATTTGTAGCTAGGAATTATCGTCGCCAACAACTGCATTCGTCTTCGCTATCACCGCCTAGCTAGGGTTAGAGGTCATCAGGTGGGAGAGGGTAAGATAGAAAATGAGCAGATTGGACTCAACCTAGTCAACTAGCTCGATTAAGTGAGAGTAGAAGAAGAGCAATTCGGTCTATAAAATAGACGGCTGCATACATTCATCTAATGGAGCCAAAAGATAGTCGGACATATAAAATAAAGTTTTATGTAGCAAATAATTATAGTGAAATGTTTAAATAACGTGAATACTAATAGCAGATTTTTAATCATCATTTCAATTAAACCTACTTTTTAAGCAGTATATGACAGACTCGCTAGGCCTGTGCTTCCTCCTTCCTTTCTCCTCCCAGCATTCTCTGCCATACGACGGCGCCGGAGTTCCGGAGGGACCGGTCCATCCTTTCCCCTTCTCCCCCAGTTCTGCATTTCCCTTTTCGCAGACATTCGAGTACTTGCGCCCGCCGCCAGTTCTTCAGATGGCCGTAGCGGGCGACGCGGCCAAGGAGTACGTCGCCGGATCCGCCGCCGGCGTCGCCCAGGTCGTAGTCGGCCACCCGTTCGACACGGTCAAGGTATATTTCTTTCTCTCTTCTCTTCGTTCTTGCCTTCTTATGCTCCGTTCTCCGCAAATTTTCTCTGGATGCTTGGTTGGTCCTGTTTCAGCCATGTTATGTCCCAACGATACTAGATATTCGATGAAATGCTTGCGAGGCTTCATCAGCACATAGACCGCACTGCTTTACATAGCTTGGGTGGTCAACAATGCTGTTCCAGTCTAAATATTCCCATGCTTGTTCAGTAAATCGTCGGTGAACCTTGCTGGTCAGCTTATTCTCGCCTCTGGCCGCCCTGTACCTTTTTACCTCTTGTGGTGGAAAAAGATGCAGTTGCAATTGTATATGTATTAGTTCGTTTCTTAGGCATATATCTTTATGACCTCACATGTGCATAAAGTTTCTTATAGGTGGGCTGAATGTAAATTCGATTGGACCATCAAGACTTGCTCGAGTTATTAATGTCCAGACAGAAAATTAAGCACAGCAGTAGTCCACACATCGTATAACCTAGGTCTAGAAAATTTCGAGTCTTCCTGTTCATGCTGATGAATTCCCAGATTGTTCTTAAGTGATGTTTTATTTAATGCCTTATACTTGTCGGGTGTAAACTATATAGTGCAGTCCTATGTTGTCATGGCAGTAGGCTGGGTTGCGACAACCTTACATATGGCAGCCACTGGCCCACCTAGTTTCTCCATGGTGCACCTAGGCTTTCACCATACTGCTGTATTCACCCCTGTTTTCAAGTGTGTGATTAAGCTAACTTCCAGCTAAATTTGTATAATGTGCACGTTACGGTTAGTAGCACATTATAGAAAATGCGTGTAATTCATGAGGACCCACGCAGATTGGGCACCTAGGAGAGCAGTAGCAGAACCTGCAATACTAGGTCAGTTTAGTAGGCTTAGGGATAATTTAGGTTTCTTGGTTAGTAAGTCAATATCTTAAATTTATAATCTTAGGAGATGGTAAGTAGTATTATGTTTAGATGGGAACTTAGGTTAGATACTGTGCTTCTATGAACAGTGGTGCCTAATAACCACTTAGGTTTGAGAAGTGGTATATGTACAAACCATTTACTAACAATTATGGGGAGCTCAGCATCTTAACACCATTAGAAGCTAATCAACATGCAGTTAATGCTAGTCCAGTAATCCTGGTTAAACGTTCATGGGTAACTGTTAGTACTTGATTGGTAAAAAGAATTAAGTATGTATACCATTTCCCCTTAAATTTAACTAGAATATCCAGTCTTTCTCTATAAAAGTTCAAAACTTATATTTATTCCGGTTTATGGTTTGTCCTCTATCCTAAACAGTCCTCTTTGCCCTTGCTGTCTGGCCTCATTTAGATGGTGTTTTACCCTCGATGAAGGATTTGCCACCAAACTAGGCATCACTCCCATTGGACCCTGATGATCCACATTTCTAGGCGATTGTGGCACTGTATGAGTTGATTAAACATAAGTCCATACTCCATAGTACATGGAGAAAGTCAGCTGTAATTAATATTATGTGAAGTGATACTAACAAATTCTGCATCTGACTGTAGATTCTGTTTGTTAGTTCTGGGCCTATTGAACGGTTACTTGGTATACAAGTGTACAAAATACACAAAACAGCCGGTTCTCTGGATGAAATGATCTTCAATCTGGACGAAATATATGGTTGTCATTGATATAACTTGGTTCATGTGAATTTAAGATTTCTTTTTCATAACTTTGGTCCATGCGAATTCAAGTTTTTTTTTTTTTTTTTGCTTGCTGTTAGGTTAAACTGCAAGCTCATAATACCACGGTTCACGGAAAGGTGTACAAGAATGCGTTCCACTGCACTAGTAGGATACTGCTTGAGGAAGGAGTAAGCCCCTTCTTTCATATTGCTCGGTGTCATTACCCTTCTATACTTAAAGAATGGATCAAATTGCCGTGGCTGTTTTGCCTGCAGTTAATGCTTGGCCCAGTATTGGAACCTGCAGTAGTTAAAAGATTGATATACACTATCATATCAACATTCTGAAAGCTCATTGCATTGCTATTTTCTCTCCCAGATTAGAGGGCTGTACAAAGGTGCGTCATCTTCGTTTATTGGTATAGCTGTTGAAAGCTCCCTTTTCTTTGGCACATATTCCCAAGCCAAACAGTTATTACAGGTATTCAAATGATCTTTCCAACTAAAATAACTAAGCATATAATTGTTGAACAGTAGCTAAGTAAGCAGGAAGATTGCAAATGTTGAGTCAAGGCCTGGCTTTAGTTTGGTATAGTTTTCTAAAAAAATGTATTTTTAGGGAAGCTATGAGGTTGGTAGGCCACATCTACAGGTAATTATCCCTTCTGCTGCATGCAGTGGAGCTCTGATTAGCTGCATCCTCACTCCAACTGAGCTCACCAAGGTACTGGCATTGGTGCTAAATTCCCACTTTTTTCTAATTGATGTAAGGACTTATGATGCATGATTCTAGTGACATTTAATGATGTGATGTCAAGGCCTTTTCCAGTGCAGAATGCAAGTTCAAGGGAAGGATGTAATCCATGGCGCTAGGTACTCCAGCCCTCTAGATTGTGCTGTGAAAACATTGGAAAGTGAAGGGGTGAGCTCAACTGGCCTTCTACTTCTATTCAGTAGCTTAATAACTGTTACCAGACTATTGAGCTGTTTTGTGCTGCAGCTTAAGGGTATATTCCGTGGTGGTTTAGCAACATTATTCAGAGAGGCGATTGGCAATGCTGTCTTCTTCTGCACTTATGAGTACAGTCGATACTGGATGCACAACTATTTGGATTCTGCAAGATTTTCTGATAGCAGTCATTTCGTGCTGGCAAAAGATATTGGGATAGGGGTTATGAGTGGTGGCATTAGTGGAATGGCGGTAAGTATTTGCAATTGTTTGAGGTCCTTTGCAGTGCACATTTTGCACCCTCATTATGATAAGTGTGTTTTCTCTCTGCAGTTCTGGACAGCTACCCTACCGCTGGATGTGGCAAAAACCATAATACAGACCGATCCAGACCCTCATGTGAGCCGAAACCCCTTGCAAATTTTGGGCATGGTAGTACTCTCACTGGACCTCATAATGTCGCGTTTTAATTAGCTAGTATCTTGTCCTGATGGAGGCAGTCCACAATGCACATGGCTTGAAATGTGACAGGTTTATAAGAGAGCTGGGATGGGTGGCTGTTATGCTGGACTTGGACCAACTCTAGCAAGAGCATTCCCTGCCAATGCAGCAGCAATTGTTGCTTGGGAGTACAGTGCTAAGATTCTTGGTATAAAGCGAGGCTAGTATTAAGGTACTACTGTATGAACACGGAGTTACTTAATTCAAGATTTAACCTTCTTTTTATTTGTTCTGCTCCGTTTTGATTCATTGCCATATTTCGTGGAGATGTCATCTGATGGGCATCTGTTTGTGCCAGTAGACTAACAATATATTTTCTGGGTTTCTTGCTATTCCAGGCACTTTGCACTTATCCCGGAATTGGACTGGGAGATACACTGAATTTAAATTTTCTTTTAGTTCATTGCACGGGTGACCCCCCCCCCCCCAATGATAAAGAAGAGGGCAACTCGACATTGTATTTGTAAAATTGATGGCATCTTTATCAAGTCTCCATGGTCCACTTGTATCTTTGAGTTGCATTGGTGGTGCATGTAAATTAAGCAGGTTAAGGTTACCTCTGACATGTGCCATAATCACAAGCTCACTTGAGTTGGTATATGGACTCAACTGTCACCAGATGCATAAATGTATTTTAAACTGTCCCTCTCCCAGATGATTTTTAAGCTGCGGCTGCTATTGTCCTGTACTGCATAAATGTATTATTGCTATCCACTGCAGAGCTACAACGCCGTGTTCGTTTGAGAGAAGCTGATTCTTCCTTATTTTTATAAAGTTGTGCTGTTTATCAGCCTAACCTTTTTATTGTATTTGATGTGGATCAATTGTGTGTTTTTTTTTTAATTCCATTATAGCTCTTCTGGTTGGCCATATGTCACAAAAGTACACCGCAGAGCCAAATTATAAGAATTTGGGGCTAACCATGACGAAGCCAAAGCAAAAATGTGCCCAGGAGCCTCCTGTGAAATGGTAATGAAAAATGAATGGTAATGGCGTTGTCCGAACTCCGAAGGGACTTGCTTCCGTTGTGAGGCTCTGAACGCTGTACTCTGGGAGGGCATCTCCTTTCTGAAGCTTCTTGCTTCTAATAAAACTTGACTTATATAAAAAAAAACTGCTAAGGTTGAATTATAATTTGGAACCGAGGGAGTATGTTTTAAAATTAATGAATTTAATTTTTTTTTTTTTGAGTTACTCAAATGTTCTCGGATGTAGAAACGTTGGGCTCTCTTAGGTTGCATTTTTTTATTTGTCTAAAAGCTTACATCTATCTAGAAATTAATTTGTAGAGATGGCTACACCTTTAGAAATCATCGACGCACAGGTAGAGACGGCTGAAATAACCGTCTTTACAAATAGTTTTCAGTTGCCTCTAAAAACGTTTTTACAAGTAGTGAATGCTTGATATGTTAAGGGAGACTTCTTTTTTCTTAAACTTTAGATTATCCAGATCTACTACCACGGCTACAGATCAACAGGAGACGCGTGTTGTGGACTATAAATGGTTCATGATGATTACAGGAAACCTCTGCTGTGGAGACATGATTCTCAAGGCATCAACGTGAAGCGAAAGGTACTGTTTTTCTGTATCTGAGTTCTGATCGTTTGCGCAAATGTTTATGCAATGCAATGAAATATATGCTACACTACCAGATTATCCACTATTTTCTGTTTCAAGTTTATTTTACCTATAATGTAGTTTACCCGCGCTTGAATTATTTTTTACTGATGCTACGTCACGGCACAGCAGCATCTAGTAGAAAAAAAGAATATGATACGAACGAGGAGGGATCGAGGAGCAGTGTACCGACAAACTCAACGAACTAATTTTGACGCCACGGAGCAAAAATAGCCGTGCGGTTTCAATTCAGTGATCATCAGTATTGCGAATGCGCCTGTGGTTCAGCAGCAGGGCTGTCCAGTAGTGGGACGCTAGGGTTCAAATCTTAGTGATCGTATCTTTTTTTTTTAGATTTTTCTAGAATTTTCAGGTACACGCACACGTATGTGCATTTGGGTGGGACTGTGTGTTTCTGCGCACCGGAGGCGACGCCTTCCAATCTCTTCTTTGTGTGTGTACGGACGCGTACGCATGTGTACGTGTGGTGTAAGTGTGGAGCATGTGGGTTATGTGCGTCCAAATTATACCCGATAAAAAAAAGTTATCATCAGTTTTAAAAATACCACTCCCACACCACTAAACCAGCCAACCTCCTCGTTAAAACTCCCCCTGTCCCCTGGCTTCCAAACGACCAAACGCATCGAAGATTTGCAATTCCATCCATCCATCCATCACTCCCGCGCCCATTCCGTTCAGCCCGGTCGGACGGTGCACGCGCGCCACGCCGCTGACACCGCCACGTCCGTCCCGATGGACTCCGACGCCGCCGTGCTCCCCACGCACACCACGACCACGACCACGCCGCCGCCGCACTCCAAGAACCAACAAGCCGACGAACTCCGCCACCAGAGCAGCCGCCGGCGCCGGCGCCGCTACGCCTACGTCTGCCTCCTCGTCTCCCTGGGCGCGGCCCTGCTCCTGGGCATCACGCTCCTGGTGCTCTTCCTCACCGTGCTCCGCGTCCGCGACCCCACCACGCGGCTCGTCTCGTCGCGGGTCATCGGCTTCGCGCCGGGCCCGGGCCCGGACTTCCAGTTCAACCTCACCATGCTCCTCACCGTGGGCGTGCACAACCCCAACCCGGCGTCCTTCTCGTACGCGTCGGGTGCCGCGCAGCTCTGGTACCGGGGCGTCCTGGTCGGCGTCGCCGGCGTCGACCCCGGCCACATCCCCAGCAAGGGGGACGGCACCATGGAGCTGGTGATGACCGTGCTGTCCAGCAGCTTCGGCGCGGAGCTGGCGCAGCTGGTCAAGGACATGGAGGCCGGCGCGGTGCCGCTGGACGCCAGCGCCAGGGTGCCCGGGAAGGTCGCCATCTTCGGGGTGCTCAAGCTGCCCGCGGTGGCCTACTCTGACTGCCACGTCATCTTCGGCGTGCCAGAGATGAAAGTCCGGAGCCAGGTGTGCCACGATCACACCAAGCTCTGATCGGATCCACTGCCGGGGTCTTGCATTCCATTCGCCGCTCGTGTTCACTTCGGCTTTGTTCTAATAAATTACTAAATGTCTTTAAATTTAACAGCTTTTAGAAATTAGAAATATATATATGTTAACGTCTACGAGTTCAAATAAATGTATGACTAAAATATATTTCGCGGAGAATGCGGTGAAACTGAAATTGATGTTGTATGTATGACTAAAATATATTTCGCGGAGAATACGGTGAAACTGAAATTGATATCGTAGATGATGGTGTATTTTTTTTTTTGCGAATAGATAATGGTGTATTTTTCTATAAATTTGGTTAAAGTTAATTTGATTTAAGATATTGGTTAAAGTTAATTTGATTTAAGATAAAACCAAAGTAAACTATAATTTGTAACGAGTAGCATTTAATCAAATGTTTCACTATGCACATGCACACCAGAAGAAACATATTTACTTGTGCTCCTTGTGTTTTAGAATATACAATGGTTAATAATTTAAGTGATCAAATTTCATCAACTTTGAGCTCCTTTGGGAGGGATCCTCAAATGATTCTTTCATCGGCTCATACGATCATATACCAAATACCAAATGACCAAAAGTAAAAGTTCTCAGCAGGAAAAAAGCACCTAGGAGTAAGAGCTATGTTTTTATTAGACAAAGAGAGTAAAAAAAAAAAAAATGGCTTCGCAACATGACTTCTCTCCAAATGCCCATTCGGCCAGTATGGTATAGGCCCGAAAAAGTATGTCCCTCTTTTACCAGGCCTAGTCGTGGCATCGGTAGCTACTGGGCCTGCATAAGGCATGAAGCCATGTCGTGCCAGCCCGTGAACAGCACCGCCGCCGCCCACTCTAGCGCATCTCCGTAGGCAAGAACCTGGGAGCTTGCTCTGGGATTGCGGTTCCTACCCTGCACATTTAAAATTACTTCCCCGTGAGATGCATATTCCACCCAGTATGGCACACTCAGCTTGCTTGTGCTATTGAATATACTTATGCCTTTATGTAGCTCATCTCTTACCTCGCATGAGCACACAATATCCATCTTTGTTCTATAATTATTGTCATTCATCTTCCCCCTTCCTGTTCTTATCCCAAATCCAACCTCCCAGGAGTAAAGGTTGTTGAATTCTTTCGCCTCTTCAAATGAGTTTAAAGTTGTGCCTTGGTAGGGGAAGAAAATTGCATGGCCTGGACGGTCAATTTTCAAATCCATACATTTTGCAACCAGTTTATATATCAGTTACTACAAAGCTTTATCACTCGTCACTTCAGAATCTCATGTATGATTTGGATTTCCATTTGCTATGAGATGGAAAAGTGCAGATCGATGGTATTTTAGATGTACCTTTCTTTTATCAAAACATTGCTGTTTTTGGACTGTTGGAAAAAGTGCAGACATCTGCTAGAACGGCAGACAGCGATTTCAATCTCTGGTCTGTTAGAAAATTGCTGTCTGCAATGCGCTGATTTTGTTTGATCAAACATCTACTAGAAGTAATGATAAAAATGCTAATCCCTTACTGGATCTAACGCGTCTATATACCAATGGTATTTAGACGTACCTTTTCTTGTAGGAGAACGATGTAATCAGCGGCTGTGAATGTCGTTGTAACGGATCCAGCTGCACATTCGCTTCCATGCCTTTCTCGGCCGTTGGTCGTCGGCGATGCATGCTGACTGCATCCATCCGCCTCCCACCACTAGCTGAACGCTCTGCCACCCCTCACCCACTCCACCTGATCGAAGAGCAGACTCCTTCCTAGTTGCCGATGCGGATCTGCACTCATGGCGTCGCCACCTCCGGCCATGCCTGTCGTCGTTCCCTGCTCTCGGCTCGGCTGTCTCAATTGTGTTTTGGTGCCGCATCGGTCCAAATGCATTTCCATTTTCGGACGCGTATCATGACATCCAAGGAAGAGGTCTGGGCTTGTAGTGGTGGCCCAGCAGTGTACGTCCTTCCGGAAGCATCTCCCGCGGTGCCACGTCGGAGCCAACATGGACTCATTACTTGCTAAACTACTGCCTATTTTCGAATTTGATGGCTCCCGCCTTCTCGAATCTCAAAGGCATATCATTGTAGGTTATATGAGAGATACTTATGTGTTGTATTTTTGTTATAGGAGAATGAGTTGAAAAGCGTGTTATAAGTTGCAAAGTAAAAACATACCATGGCGATCTATATAATCAATTTTTATCACTTACCCTATAAATTTGAGATAGGCTTATATGTGAATTTTGAAAAATGGTGAAATGTCAAATTCGAAGCTAAATAGCCTAATTTATTAAATAGATTTCAATTTCTCTAAATGGAAGAATCCAAGCGGCCCGTAAGAAGAAAAAAAAAGGCACATCAGACATAGGCCCCATTCATATGCTGAATCACAAATTCATAAATCGTAATCACCATTTCAAGCATCTGCATATGTACACGACTACACAAATTTCACAACAATTTCAAGCAAACCTCTACTAGTTAGTACTCACTAGCTAGAGATGGCCAGATGCAGTGGGACCCTTACGGCCGGCAAAGCCGCATTGGAGGCCGCAACTTGGAGGACGGCATACCAGCCGGACGGTACACTGGCAGTGTCGTGTGTCGTCGGCTCGTCGTGTCGGGCCACAGTCTGCTATTGCGAGCCAGGAGCCACGCTTAGCTGAAGTTGGAGGTGATCACAATTGACCCTTCCTGAGCCTCTCGACCTTTTCAGCGCTACAGTTGAGATAGGGTGAAAGAGAATCGACACATTTTCGACACCGATTTCCTCCATTCCTCCTCCAATCCGGCGGTCGGATCGGCGCCAAAGAGGATGGGGAACGGGGATTGAGGTGGCTGTTGTTTATAGTCCTGCCTAGCTTAGGTAGTTTAGGTTTAGGCGGTGTGCGGTTGGTGGAGGCCACGACGCCGTTAGGGAATAAGCTTCGCCAGCCCCTTCTCCACCTCGCTGGTGAGTGTTCTGGTGCCAGTGAAGGGCTGCTGAGCCGTAAGCTCGCCGGATCTGGAGACCTTCTGGCTGCTCCAGATCTCATCAGGTCTTCTTCTCCCTCCCTCGTCTCCTTCGAGATTGGCACCGGCGACGCTGGCCTTTTCGACGGGATTCTTATGAGGTATGTCTACCAACACTCCGAGAAATCGGGCTGGATTTTGGTACCTGTTCAGGTGGTTTATTTCCTCTTCGGGTTGAGTGGTCGTCCGGTGAGCCGGGGTCGCTAGCGATTCTTGAGGCGTTAGATTCCTTGTCTCCCGGCAATGTGATGGACGGTGGCTATCTTGTTCAGCCGGGGCATTCAGCGTCTAGAAAGCATACCGATGTGCTCGATGTGCTACTCTTGGTAGCAATGAAAAACTATGACGTTTCTTCGTCGAGAAGGAGTTCGGCTTCAAGCTACACACTCGGTGTGTCTCCTCTCCAACCTTTGGTGCGACGGGAGCTCATCAGCGGTGAAGACCACTGGGAGGATCTTGCAAGGACTAAGCTGTAATTTTTCTTTTTTTTAGAAGATGTCTTTGTAAGAACTAGAACGTAAACTTTAAGAGATACACGTGAAATATAAACCCGGTTTCTCGAAAAAAAGCCGAAGTTGGAGGCCGCCAGGGTCAGGACACGATGTGCCAAGTGCCATTGAGGTCTCGGCGGGCTGGTGCCCGGTCACGTGGCCGGGCTGTGAGGCGGGCTGACAGGCCTGTTGGGCTTCTACAAATGTTAAAATAAGAAAAAAGTCCACATTAGCTTCCTTAACTTTTGCGAAAGTCTGTTTTTCCTCTCTGAACTGTAAAACCAGGTAAACCACCTCCTAAACTTTTAAAACCGTTCGTTTTACCTCCCTGGCCGGTTATAAGTGGTTTTCAAATACGGTTTTGTATTTTTCTTTTTTTTTTTTCTTTATTTCGGTTGAATATTTGAAAAATCATAGTAAATCACAGAAAAATCATAAAATGGAAAAATCCAAAAAAATTTTGACTCCACATGAGTAGATATACACATTTTTTGCTAAGCACAAAATTTGTACTAAAGCATACCATATTATATGTTCACTGTGTATATCTACTCATGTGGAGTCCAATAAAATTGAATTTTTCATTTTATAATTTTTTTGTGATTTACTATAATTCAACCGAAATAAAAAGAAAAGAAAAGGCAAAACTGTCTTTAAAAACCGTTTATAACCGGCCAGAGAGATAAAACAAACGGTTTTAAAAGCTCAGGGGGTGGTTTACTCGGTTTTAGAGTTCAAGGAGGAAAATCAGACTTTTGTAAAAGTTGAGGGAGGTAATGTTGATTTTTTTTTAAAAAAAGGACTCATATTTGACCAAGCATACCCACGGAAGCCGGCAGCTCAGAGGTGCTTGGTGTGCCTTCTCCGTAGCAGCGGCGGCGTCGACCACAAACTCAGTTATACAATGACTCAAATCCTACTTAGGCTAAAACTCAAGAGATGTGTGCTATTAGAATTTATAATTTTATTAGGACATGAATGTAGAATACTATTAGAAATAGGACTCATATTTGCATGTGTGACTTGTGAGGACCTTGGAGGGACTATATAATTAAGTGGTGAGGACCTATGCATCAATCAAGCCAACATAAGGGCCACATTCAAGGCTTGTAAGAAGCAGCTAGAAGCGCTCAAAAGGACTAGACTAAATAGTTTTATTGCACTATATTCTTATATTGGGCAACAATCACTGGATTCTAGAGGGTCAAGTAAGGTTATGAGAGAAATAATCGCTTGTACCTTTTTAGAGTTAGTATACAGGATAAAAACTTTAAGTACACACAGAAATTATGTAGGTTTTTGTATGTGGTTGAGCTTTTAGCTCTTAGAACCATAACCCGCCCTCTATTAGACATATCGGATTGAATTAGATGAGTCTGCCCTTGTTCACATGATAGTCCGTAGTACACCTGATTAAATCACTGATGATTAATCCACATGTGCCGTTCAAATATGGTTCATAAACTATTCATAGGCGTTGAACTGAATAGACAATGGATTGCT